AAAAAAAAAAAAAAAAAAAAGGAGTCAAGGAGACGGACAGGTGAGAACCCAGGTGTAGGGGAGTGGAGAAGGCAGGTGAGGGGGCTGAAGGGTGGGGCCAAGGTTTATTTGTGCGTGGCCTCCTGCTGTTTCTGTAATCTGCAACTGGAAAATGACCCAGGAAGGATGAGAAACATATTCCAGACCTCCCTGCCTATCTCTAGGTGGCCATTCTGAGAGGATTCCGGAGAGGATGGGACATGCAGAGTGCTCAGTATCTTTTTCTCCTTCTGGAAGCTACGAGGCCGGGTCTTGAATTTCATGATCTTACCCAATGATAAGAGGGGAGATGATCATATCATCCTGATACAGTATTTCCCTTTGGGGTGGGATCTGAGACTCCCCTGGTGCTTACACCCGGCCTTACAACCAGCTCTCTGATGCCTCTTGCCCCTGCCACATTTGGATGGTCAATCCGGCTTCTCCTTCGTTTATAAGGTGTTCCCTGTTCAGAAGGGAGCAGCAGAATCCACAAAGAGACTACAGGGACCTTGGCCTCTCCCCATGGCAACACAAACACGTGCTAGAGGACCACACCATTCTACGTGTTCAGGCCGACACGGAGAGTGTCAGGTTGCAGGTCCAGATGCTCTCTCTCAGAGGCACCCTTGGGTGGGCAGTATTGCACATATCACCATTGCACAGTGTAAGCACAACCGCTTTCTCCAAACCCACCTGCTTGCCCCTGCCGTTCCCTTGCAGGGGCACAGTGCTTTCACAGAAGAAGCAGGCACATGCTCTTAAGAAGTGTCGACTCACACTAGGCGGTGTGGCTCACACCTGTCATCCCATCATTTTGGGAGGCGGAGGCAAGAGGACTGCCTGAGCCCAGGGGTTTGAGACCAGCCTGGGCAACTTGGCGAGACTTTGTCTCTACAATAAATCAAAAATATTAGCCAGGTGTGGTGGCGTGCCTGTAGTTCCAGCTACTTGGAAGGCTGAGGCAGAAGGATCCTCTGAGCCCAGCAGGTTGAGGCTGTGGTGGCTGTGATGGTGCCACTGCACTCCTGCCTGGGTGACAGTGAGACTCTGGCTCAAAAAAAAAAAAGAGGCGTCAACTCCACCTTGCTTCTTGCTTCCTGGTCATGGCAACGGATGGGTCCAGGTGGGGGCCTGCTGCTGCCTGAAATCTAACTCCCCACCCTGGGGCTCTTAGTCATGCCCTGGTAACCATTAACAGCCTGTTCCCAGGCTGGTGTTAGTTTCCCACTCTATCTTGCTTGACCTCATAGCCAAACATAAGAGAAAACTGGGTGGCTCAGATATTGCAACTTGATTTACAGAAATTGAAGCAACTGAGGCATCTTTGAAATTCACTGCTCAGGAAGAGTGTAGGGCATTGTCAGGCCACTTGGACCTGGGAAGATTCTCCCATCTCTTTTTCTAGCTGGAAGACAAAATTAAGACAGCCAGAATCCCTCTATAAGGAATGAAAAGGGGAAGTGACTCTCATTCTCATTCTCTGGCTCTCATTCTCATTCTCTGGCTCTCATTCTCGCTCCCTTAGTGGAATTTTAACGGTAAACGACTTAAGGGCACAGCTTTGTCATTTATCCCTGTCTCTCCATTGTATAGTATTCAATAAATAATCTTTATGTGGAGAGCAGTGCGAGTCCACCCAAGAGTCAAAGGGAAGTGGGTGTGGAAGTATCTCTGTAATATCAGCCAGGGCACAGGGAGACAGACAGTGGAGCATCACAGAAGTGGGAAACAAGTAGTTGCCCTTGGATTTACTGGGTTTCTGACCTAAGGCTGTACTGTCTAACATAGCAGCCGCTAACTAGAGTGGCTATTTAAATCGATAAAAATTAACTACAGTGAAAAACCCAGCTCTTTAGTGGCTCTAGATGTATTCCAAGGCTCTGTGGCTGCATGTGACTAGTGGCTACTGTCAGATCTAGAACACGTCTATCACCGCAGAAACTTTTGGTCAGTATTGGCCTGAGACACCAGTCTGTGCCTGGCTAAGCAGGAAAATAGTAAGGCCTAGGTTAGACAGTGCGCAGCTCCCTCCCTGGCTTGCTCTGTTTTTAGCCAACGTGCAGCCACCTGCTTTTTGCTACAGCACAAGGCTTATGGGAGAATGACGGCTGCTCACTGTTTAAAAAGTGTAAGACGCATCTCAGACTCCCGCAGTCTGACAGTTTCCCAGCTGCGAATGTCACAAGACTCAATTGCACTGGTGTATGTGTGTCTGCATAAGGAGGAAGAACACAGAGGTGTGTAGGGAGGGGCTGTAGAACCTTCTAGAGCAAGGCAACATCCCTCTTCCTACCCATCCCATCCCTGACCAGCATCTGCCTGGAACCACTTTCTCAGAAGACACTCCTTTTTTTTTTTTCCAATCATAGTTCACTGCAGCCTTGAACTCCTGGCCTTAAGTGCTGGGCGTGGTGGCGAGTGCCTGTGGTTCCAGCTATTTGGAAGGCTGAGGTGGAAGGATCACCTGAGCCTCAGCCTACCAGGACACTGGGCTCTTTTTAACTTGAATTGTGGGTTGAGGAGAAAATGGGCACTGAACTTCCAAGAGGAAAACAAACCAAAAAATGGTCATCCTACTTGCAAGAAGGGAGGAGGCCAAGAGGAAGCCCCTGGAGGGAGTGGAGAAGACTCTGAGTGGACGTCAAGGGTTGTCAGCTTGCCCAGATGAGCTCCTTACCCCACTTTGGACCAGGAGAACTAAAGTGGTCGGGTGCTCTAAGCCAACAGCAAAGTTGGCCAAGGTGGGAATATAACATCTCTATTCTGATCTGAGAAATAAAGACACCCCAGAGCACAGTGAATGACCACTCAGAAGCAGGAGCCTGGCCCTGGGTTCAAATCCCAGTTCCTCTACTGAACAGGTATGCTAAACAGCGCCGCTCTTAACCTTCAGATACCATTCCTGGGAGGAAGTTGGGGCAGTTGACAGCAGTTCAGCAAACTTTTGTGCGGATTTATGTTGACTGTCATTTCTTTTTCCTGTGTTTCGGTATTCTCATCTGGGTTATGGGAAGGATGACACCAGCCCCTTCTCCATAGGGCTATGATGAAGACTAATGGAGCCGATACGTGATAACGAACACTCGCACAGGTAGCTCTCTGTTGCCTCTCACCTCCCTAGTTCCAATCCTTAACTAAACATGTGGATGCTTTGCCGGGCATGGTGGCTCACCCCTGTAATCCCAGCACTTTGGGAGGCCAAGGCGAGAGGATTGCCTGAGTCCAGGGGTTTGAAACCAGCCTGGGTAACTTGGTGAGACCTCTTCTCTACTATAAATAAAAAAATTAGCTGGGTGTGGTGGTGAGCGCCTGTGATTTCAGCTGCTTGGAAGGCTGAGGCAGAAGGACAGGCTAAACTCAGGAGGTTGAGGCTGAGGTGGCCGTGAGCGTGCCACTGCACTCCAGTCTGAGCGAGAGTGAGACTCTGACTCAAAATAAGTAAGTAAATAGATAAGTAAATATTAAAAAAATGTGGCTGCCCTGACATCCTGTTGGTATATATCTGCCCGTAGACCTCAGGATCCAAGG